CTTTATCCACCACATCCACGACATCTTTATCTTCTTCTCGCTCTGACTTAACACCTCTGTTCAAGAAACTGGAGGAAGCTTGGAATGCATTGAATGAACTACTGTCTGTAAGTAATTTTTACTCTCTTGAACTGGATTCAATCTTAGTGAAGCCAATAGTAATAACTCTCAAATATCGTGTTAGAGCTGTTTGAGGCCTACTAGAGCTTCTTATCACTCCGTATCAACATTGTTTTACTATTATCTATTATTTGAGCCTTAATCGTTGCAGAAACTCTGAGTCTTGTATATGCGCACTGACGGCTGCGTGCCTATCGATTAATTCATCCAGCGGAAATCTGAATCTAAATCGTGCACCTATGCGTGTTGAAGGCGTGTAGGTCGGTAATTGGGCTCGAATCGTGTTCAAGATTATTGTCAAAATGCGGCAGCTACATATACACATCTGGCACAAATAAAAATTGTAAGGATTCAAGGAAATAAAAAAGGAAATGAGGAAAAGGGAGAACGAGGGGGTCACCAAACCTGCGCTATAAATCATCAGGGTCATTTCCTTGGAAAGTATAGTCATGTTCTCAAGCTCTACTCTCTCTATGAGTTTCGCGACTACCTTCTCTGGCTATGTCGAGCGCTTTGTTTGCATCCTTGCTGGCAAAGAACCTCTCCCTCCGCTTCTTTTGGAAGCCAAGATCACCTCGTTGTCACACTCGCATACATATGTGGAGCTTGCAGGCAAATAAGGTAAATATATTCCGCGATGTAGAGTTCTCCCTGGCTGACCCACTATGTAGACCATGCGCAGCGCTGTAGCACAGCAGCTGAACGAACGCGAGCAGAAAGTCACCACAATGGAATCAACTTTGGCTCGTTGTGAAGTGGAGATTGAGCTCCGCCAAGCATCATTTGATGCAAAGGCTCGAGACATAGACCTTGCCGCCAAAATCGGGAGGAGTCAGCAACTTTCAGTTGCATTCCAACGCTCTGCGTTGTTCTTCCAGGAGGATGTGGTGAGGCTCCAAGCAGAAAAGGGATCACATGATATCGCTCTCTACGATGGTGGGGTAGGAGATTTGGATATGGCTCAGCTCACTGGTAGAATCGTGGGGCACGCTAATCCTAACTAAATGAGAGGCTCATGCAACCACCATGATTAGATATTTCGGCTAGTGTATGCACACGTATATCGTTTTTTTTTTCATCCAAATGTGATAGTAGAGTGGCTCAGGACCATTGAACGATCGCAAGTGTCCGTCATGTAAATGTGACTACAATGTGCATGGCAACCCTATTTCCGATATATCTTTGACGATAGAATACAAAATATCCAGATTAATGGGAATATACAAAATTAGGAAGCGTGCTAACCACCTGTTAGCTTCATTTAAAAGGCGAGTTGCTTAACACGTACCCTCAGTGAACACAAATATGCCTAATACTCCAATCTATAATGGAAGGAAGCAACCAGCGGAAAACCACTGGGTGAGGAGCTCTGATCTCTCATCACTGCCAAGATATGAGTATTCTGCCCCCGTAAAAGCCATTGTAAAATAATTTATTTTGCAATATATATTTCCATCTTTTTCCCACCTGAAAAAGCCGTGTGCCAAAGACCAAGAGATGGCTATTTGTTTTCTGGAAAAATAACCAGGTAGACGATGTAAAGATGTACTTTGGATCCTTGTCGGAATCAGGGAGGTTTGTGAAGTTGGGAATAGGTACTAGAGCTGGGGGTGATAAAGACAAGTCCCATATTTGTACCATGCCATAGCCTGATAGTGAATTAGTTTACGACAAGATAGACAAGGTGAAGGGCATACTTATGGCGGCAAGAAATTGGCCATTTGCGGAGAATGATACTGATAAAATCCCATCGGGGATACCAGATAAAGTGAGGAACAGAACATATTTGGAGCTAGAAATCATCTGAAATTAGGAAAATTGGGGTTGCACAGTGGTTGCACTGGGTCGTGTTGTACTAGTTATAACAGCAAGTGAAACCGCCCAGTGGCAATTTTGATCTGATGAATGGGCTTTGTTCTGTGCCTCGTTTCGATTGCTCACCAAAGAAAATGTTTGACTAACTATTCCACTGAAGATCCTGCATATATATCACCTTTCATGTATATATACTTATCACCTTTCGTGATCAAGTGTTTCGTTCTGCGCTTACCTCTAGATCTCTTATAAGCTTCCTTCATTCCTTCGTTCCTTTTTACTTCAGTCTGACGCTATGTTGAGTCTTTGGGCTAACAATCGAACGGATCATCACGAACATTATGAGGGATGGTTGAAAGCAATATTCTCACAATATTGACACGGACATGTCAAGGTCGAATTTGGAGTTCCCCGACTCTGACCGAAGGGAAGGGAGGGTCTTGTAGGTGTCAAATGAGTGTTGGATTCTTCCAAAACCGCCAGATCGGGTATTTCTTTCCCACCTGATGTTTAGCCACCATGCCGGTTCATCCATTTAGCAAGTCTTCTGATCCTGATTTGATACGGTCATCGGCTTGAGTTCCCTCCTAGTATATACGCCGGCTCATGGGATAACACAGCATGTGCTTTCGCAGCGTTCGAGTCCGGGATCCCTGGAAGTTCTAGGGCTCGGCACGGTACGGCCATATCTGATACGGGTCATTTTCATAACAGATCATTTTTACCCGTACCGTAAATTTAAGGTCAGAGAACATTACGGTACAGATACGGGTCGTACACCGTATACGGACGGTATACGACATCACCATGTTGCATTGCACAAACCAATTTAGAAATCACTATTAACTGTTACAGTAGTGATTAGTACCCATAGCAGTAGCATCATCTTTTAAACTAATCATCAACCAAGAATTTTGATAATCGCAATATGTGCGATACGAAGTTGCGCTTTCACCACCATAAGTGCCTGGATTGTCTCTGCTCCTAGACTTGCACGGCGCAATGAGATTATGTCTTACCCCCCAGAGAAAATGCGCTCAACGCATACAGCAGACCCTGCAGCAAAAAACATCAATCAAAAGTTACCAAGAAAGTTACAAGCGATGCAAAGGTAGACTTGCCAGGAATACAAATAATGTCACGAGCAAACCGGTAAAGGTTTGGGAACTAGTACTACCACTCCAAGGGATCTGTTGACATGCCAATGGGGCTAGCGGTGATGCGGAAATAGTACCCATTGAGCCCTTCCTGGAGAGAAGACGGTGCAATAGGCTGTCTCACATACCAAGAAAGAATGTCAGCGTTCTGAGGTTCTGAGGTAAGTACATAATAGAAGTTGATTTTGCTGGACCCATGGCTGTACCAATAGGCACGGGAGTGGGCTCGGGTTTTGACGGCTTGTAATTTCTGTGGAAGTGCTGCTCGAATTTGCTTTTTGATGCTTTGATATCAGCTAGTAATTCCGGCTCCTTGTTCTTGTAGTCTGCTGCCAATGAATCCGAGGGTCCAACACTAAGGAAAACACTAGAGATTGAAGAACTGAATAAAAATAAAATAAACAAAGTGCATGCAGCCCAAGTGTAATTTGATGATTCCTTTTTGCTTGCTGTTTACAGTGGAAACTGTCCCTAGCGGCAGAGAGATTTGGACGTGTTGAGAGCTTGGTCAAATGCAGAAAGCAAAACATTTGAAGGTACATCAATCATACAGTCCACTGCACACAGGACAACATTTGGTCATGTTATGAGAGCAATGAGAGAGGGTTAGCGAAACCCATTGACTGTTGATTCACATCCTCTGATCCTCAGGCTGCAGTGACTCGCTGACTATACTTGCTGTTGTATTTGAGGATGATGTCATGTCAATCCAGAACTGATACTGTTCCGATGTAGCTTACTGATATACTTACCAAGCTACTTACTAATACTTATAGACTCGGTAGACACCCCATAGAGTACCTGTACTGTAGTATATATGGCCAGGTATGAAGGCCAAGTAGTATAAGAGCAATAGAGCACTTGTATCCCCAATCTCCTGTGGGAGCCTCATGGCTCCGAGTCCCCACTGCGCCGGATACCTACGACACAACCTTTGAATTAGACTCAGAACACGAGGAAATCTTAGAAATAGCCTCAAGTATTGGTAGCACCTTGCATATGAATTGCTTATGGCAGCTCACTTGATGTGGTCTAGCTTCTCAATCTAGTACACAGACAATATGATTTGAGTTGGTAATATATAAGGTATGGCTGGAAGGGTGGTCAATTGATCTGTGAGTTCTAAGAAGTTGCAATTCACCAGCTGAATTGACTTCTTGACTACAGTGGCTCTGAACTCATTTGAGGGTTGCCTTGATGGCTAAGTTTATTCACAAATCACAATGTGATGCTATGCTGGCATGGTTTCTTTATTGAGAGCAGCTCAGAAGGTGGGGAAGATGACTTGGGCTGACTTAATAATTGGCATTGAAACTATTTTCTAAAATCTTTCGGATATTGTCATTAGTACATGCAGCATATTTTCCTCTTGAATTGTTCTTGAATATATTAGATGATAATTTGAGCTTTGATATTTTACTGATATTACAATGGCTTATATCTTCTGGTCACATAAAGAAGGCTGCAGCAGGCTGAAGCTGCTGGAGCAACATCAACTCCCAAAGCAAAGTTTGGCTAGAGTGTCACATTTGATGTGCGATGGCTGCGTAAAAGAGGGAGACAGTGATTGATCCTGGAGTCGGGGATTGCTGCGCAGCAGCATTAAGGATGTACAAACATTGATTAAGTTTATTCCGGTCCAACCAGCCTGATCCGATCCTAATTAGGCAATTCTTAAAAGACATAACAGGTAATTTAATTATATGCAAAATGTACATGTACAGTCCGCGGAACAGCTTGGTTCGCCCCTCTTTTCAGTGAAAGTAGGCATGAATTTGGAGTGGAAAGGGCTACCAGCGTGTGGACACAAGTTGTGAACGGGCATTGAATTGGCACTGAAACCTCAAATTGGTAGCCTGCCACGCACTGGTTATCAAGCTTTATGCCCCTGTAAAGATGTACTAACAAGGTCCAATAGTGTACAGGTTAACACGCGCGATGACTTGATGATAGATCTCATTAGTTCTCTGTGAGATCCAGGTTCGAGTCCTGGTTGGACCGTACAGGCTTTTCTTTTGGCAGTGATTCAAAGTAAATTTCTATACGAGATATGAAATAGCTGTGTTATACTGGAAGATGAGTCGCTTTTTGTACTGTCTGTGCCTTACAAGTGCAGAAAAATCCACTCTACATTCTGCAACATCCAACGATGTACTGTATACTATGCCAATCTACAACCCTCTCACGGCAATGTCAAGCACTTCTAGGTTGCGACGGACTCGTTCCAAAAGAGCATTAGTTCTGTGTGGCTCATCTTGGTTTCTATAATGGAAACTATTATAGCTATAGGTCCGTCATAGTGTAATAGTACTCATGTTGCGAGAGTTGTCACAAAACCGTCTCCTTTGATGAGACTGTCGATTTGCTCGCTTTGATTCCTGCAACTTGCCAGTTGATCATTCGGGGAATTTAAAAGCTTGATGCTACTTACCTCAGGCTTATATTGAGCTGAGATATCTCTTTGCTTTGGGTGGCAGATTGTTCCAAAAGAGTACCGATCAGCTCATCTCAATTCCTGCAACAAGGATCTGTAATTCTGGGAACCTCGCAGATTGATAGTGACTCACTTGATGACAGTTTGCTGAACAAGGTCAGTTTTAATGAGATGTTTGATGAGCTTGTTTTGTGTCCTGCGACGGGGTAATTACTTGTTAGGGAATTCAAAAGCTCAAAACTAATTACCTGATGATTGGCGTCAGATCTGTCCGTTGGTTTCTTTCAACATTGACAACGGCATGTTGAATGGCGCAGACCCCAAGCGCAAAAACACAAAATAGAGTCAGAATCCACTGAAATGATTTCTGTTATTGGTACTGCCAGTGAACAAACAAGAATAAAGGACACACTTCAATATATAACAGGGAGTGACCCAGACTTTAGACAAAGGTCTCAAGAAGTCCATAACAGTAAGCAAGAGGGTGGTGCAGGAGGAGGAGTTTAAGATGAATTAACTGTATCTGGCCCGTTTTTTATAGCCATCATTGCTCCTTTGTGTTGAATCTCCTTTGTAGTCTTCATGAGCGTTTGTAGAGCGGGTGGCGGGCCGTTGATCAAATGATCTATTACTGACGAGTTCCTTACTAGGTTTGGACAGGAAGAGCAAAGGTCTCTTCCTGATCTTTGTCATTACTACTGTGGCAACCCGGTTTGGGATCCTACTAGTATTCCCTGGGAGGGACCAAGCCTCTATTCTCTGGCTACTACTGGAACAATCTACAGACCTGCCTTAGGATTCTGATTCATGTAACAGCGGCCCTGACTTTCACCGCATACGGTTTAAAACTCGGAAAACAGGCTCAGGGATTGTATCCACCTCCCGCTCGTAATCTGAACAAAACTTATTCGACCTGCCTCCACACAGTAGCTGGCTCGAGATTGAACAGAAACCCTGGCACTCCATCTCCGTTCCAAATGTTAGCTAATATTGTTTGGATGTCTTGAGCCTCCGGGTGCGTAGCTAATGTTGTTAGCAGCCCCGCATACATACCTGGCTCGCAGCGCTACCAGTACGACAAGTAACTACAGTATCTTCACCTTCACTTTCTTCCTCTTTGGTCCCTTGTTCATCAGACATTCCGGCTGTAGAAACCGAACTGGACTTGGAAGAAGCCTATCAAACAAAGTAATCGTGTCTGTAGCAGAATATACCAACATCAATCCGTGGCACCAGCTCGTTAGTAAATATAGAGTCAGTTTCTGAGCTACTATCTTCTGTTACTATTTTTTTACTGGACCCTGAATTCACTTGTGAAAAATATTTGTTGAGTGGATCCGGATTCCGAGGATGCGACCATGACAATAAGTGAGGACTTGGAGGAGAGAATAGCTTCGATAACCCAGACTAGATAAACGCATATGATATATCTATATCTATTTGGTAGGCATAATGAAGCCTCAGCAGGCCCCGAAGAATTTGGACTCATTAGGCCCTTAGACTGATCATTTTATCAATCAGCATTTAGATCATCACCATGTACCAGTAGTACTCACCATAGTTATTGAACCATGAATATTATTCAATCGAAATGTTGCTAGAGTTTGGCACCCACTCTTCTCTTTTCTCTTACTTTAAGTTTGAGCAACTCATGGCCAGCGCGGCGAAGAAAAACAGCCGGAAGTCGTAACCAGAGGTGGGGTAAAGGGTCTAGCACCACTGGCGGAATAACTGACCAAAAGTCTAGCATCTGAAAGGGAAGTGATTGATGGAAGATTTCAAACAGTAAATTAGCTACCAACAGTAGGTGGTTTCATGTTTTACTGGTGGACTCACAAGACATTGCAAGAGTGTTGTTGCTCGATCAATCGAAGTGGGGGTGCACGTTTCATATCATAGCTTTAAGTATCAGGATCAGATAATTACGCCATAACCCATTGGCATCTACCCACGCAACCTCCTCCCCGCAGTGTGTTGCATACCATGCGTATATAATATATATACTATTACCAGTTAGGATTCGGTTATGTTTAAATATTGCCGGCATGCCTGCTGACATCACTGACCCAAGAAGCTACTGACCTGAGAAGCTATTGACCCAAGAAGCTATTGACCCGAGAAGCTACGTACATTGTCCTCTGGACAAAGTTAAGGGCTTCTTGTTTCTTATCTTCCTGACTGAGAGCAGTGGTAGTGCTAAGTGCTACACGCTATGCATACCCCGAGTTCTGTCACCGGCTACATTAGTTCATCTTGCTTCCTGGAAGCAGTGAATTTCAATAAGACCATCCATAAGCTCGTTTTTTGCGTCCTAGCTTCTCCTAGCTTCTACAGCCTTCTACATATAGGTCAATATTAATACTGATCACATGAATGAGGCGGTTCTTTCTAACTTTGGTCACCATGCTGAATGGCGTGCACCGCAAATGCAAATTAAAAATGCAAACTTGGATTGACGCTGCTTCCTCGCGGTTTCTTACACGGTGAATCAGCCTTGTGGGACATATATATATAGATTAATATTAAGGACTCGGATTTACCATTAAGAGCTATATAAGGATTTTTTTGGGTAAGCAGTGCATAAGATGTAAACGAAAAGTGTTTGAGAACCGGTAGAGAAATTTTCTGCAAGGCAAGTACTCAATGACCATCACCCCAGCCTTCATTCCATGCTTTATTACAAGTAACTACTCCGAACCATCCCTCAAAGAGATCGGGGTGGAAAAGGAGGGTGCATTGACTACGGAATTTGGCAGGCCAGTTGAGAGGCTTGGAATAATTCCTACATCCTTCAAAGCACATTCGATACTCTCCTTTAAGAGATAGACCAGAACGGGAGTAAAATACCCAATGAATTTTCGACAGGTTGGACAAACAGGATTCTTATTGCGGTTATGATGATAATGAGCCCAGTCCGAAATACACTTAGCGCAGAAGATATGGCCACAAGCCAGCCTTAAAAAAAGATAAGAAAAACAATTTTCAGAGTTGCAATTACTCACGAATGAGGCTCGTTAAGAGTGGAATGACAGATTGGGCACATGTAACTTTGAAGATCGGACATACAGCGGTCTGTGAAGTCTCTCTTGGCTTGAGGAGGTGATTTATGCGCGTTCTATTCAAGGATAATGTTTTAAAGGTACTAGTCAAGATGGTGCGGAATGCATACTGAAGCCCTTTGTGTTGCCTCTTGAAGATCAAGCTGGAGTTGTTGTCTGCTAATTGTGTGGGTCTACAGCAATGGTAAGCCAGAAATTGAACTCGGGGACACAACATACTGATATGGCAATGACGTCTAAGTCCGACGAGTCAGAAACGTATAGCACCTCCGGCTCAGATATTACCTTTCCAAAATTTTATGAGAACAGGAGCAAATCAGCCATAAATATACTCACTGAAGAAGCAGACTTAGAGGACATATCAAAGCGAACATCCAACAGTGGGAAGAGAGTCGTCCTCTCAGAGTCAAGCTCTGAGGAATGGGTGTAGTGCTGTAAAACAACGTGATGCACCGTTTTTTCTGTACTTTTGTGTCGGCATCTTTGCGGGGGAATATGGGGGATAGTTTGCCAATTCTCGTACAGTGGTGGTAGATCTGGGGGAGTGCTGTGCAGCTGGCATCTTGTTCTGTCAGACTTCAAGACGACAAAGAAAAAACTGTTCGATAAATTTCCGCTGTTGTTTTGCCAAATTATATACCCCACAGGACTCAATGAAAGGCCTTTGTTTGTTTGAGGCCTCATTGCGAACAATGATATGCTGACTTCGGAGTGCACACAAAAGTGAATGTAAGAACAAGTCTAACACACACCAACACACACACACTTAAATCAAACACAAGTTCGGAGGGTGCAAGAAAAGATATAAAATTCAAAGTACAACTGCTTTTAGGGGATTGGAATGCAAGGTATAGGTTTTATCTGCTGAGTCCCACAGAATGTGGATGCAATAACTTTACTTCTCTCATTGGTGGCACAATCAAAACAATTAGATTGCTTGCAACCGAAAATGCTTATTCAATGCCTTACTGTGTTATGGCATACACGGAGTTTGCTCTGATTGGTGGCATTGCGTATGTATGCCAAATTGTACTTCATTGAACCAAACTTGGACTGTATAATGCAACACGAAGCTTGGGTTTTAATATTCTGAGGTATGGAACATGTGCAACTGTGTTGTACTAACAAGAATCCATTAGGAATCATTGTCAGTTGGTGTCTGTGCTCAGTTCTCTATTGATAATATCAGAATACAACATACTGCACATAATCTGACTGTATCAGTGATACTGAAACATGGCCAATTAGGCATTTTAAGTCCAAATTATTATGGGGCGTATCAACAATCAACGCGGATCATTGGACAAAGAAACTTTGCGGAAGGCGGATGAAACAGTCATCATCGCACTTATTGTGGAGAAAGGGGGCGGAAACTGGAAACTGAAAACGAGGTTTCCAAGCCTTTGAATCATAAAGCGTCCCATTCTAAATCCCCAGAGTGTGAAGAGTCGAGTACAAATCTCCTTTGCCAACACTGTAATTTATATACTCAGGTTTCGGGTTCACTA